CAGCCGGCGCCGAGGAGCAACGGCGCTTTTCGCCCCGGAGATTTGAGACTAGGCCGGGCTCGAGACGGACGCGCGAGCCGCTTACCTCCGGCAGCTAACTGCAGGCCCTCTGCGCGAGTAAGTGACGCTCCTGTCGTCCCCACGGGAGGAACGCGGCCTCCCGTAAGATCTCCCGCGCCCCTTTCCTCTAAGGGCCGCACATCCAAATATTTGCGTTTTCCAAACAATGCGCACAGAAACAAGTTGAAAGCGTTTGACTTAACAAGTTGCCAGTGTTTATAATGTTACGTCTCCAAGACTTGGTGTGAAGTCAGTTCCTTAATCTCCCCGATTTTTACCTTGAAATACATAATTAATATCAAAATACATACGGAGATCAGACTGTTGCCCTTCACTTCCAGTCCTCCCACCTGTTTCAAACATCAAGAAACACTTTTTAAACATTTTTCATTCTCTTCTGTTGTCACATCGAGAGAGGAAGCTGTTAAAGGCTTTGATACCTGCGCTGTTTGTTAAGCACTAGCGACTGAATCGGTCTGCTGTGAGGGTGGCAGCCCATCATGCAAAACCAACAAACAAACAAAAAAACCAAAGCCAAACATAACCTGGAACAGTGTTAATTCTTGGCACTCATGTAACAGGCAATTCCATAATCATGATGCAGACGGTAGGTCACACAACATTCAGCAAAACAGGAACAAAACACTATCCTTTATCTTCTTCAATGATGCTATTACCTGGTATCTGCTTCAGAGAAAATACTAAACATTCAGATAAAAAAAATTCCTTGATATGGAAAAGTATCTAGAAACATTTTTTTTATATAAATGTGTATATATATATATATATATATATATGTGTGTGTGTGTGTGTGTGTATGGCTTGTTTGTCCACACTCTGAATAGCCATTTGCATCACATTCACTACAGGTCAAACATGCCATTTGAACTTTGTTTTATTTTTCCTATATCTTCTATAATGGGCGATAACTTGGAACCTAAAATAGAAAGCTTGTTAAAAAAAATTACATAACCAATATACTAAGATTTATTTCATTGTCATTAGATGTTCTCTTCTCCTGTTTCTTCTCCTGTTTCCTTTCCAGTGTAGATAGTCTATCACATTTACCCTATTTTTAAAAACAGTTGCACAGTCAAGATTCCCAAGGACATAAGAAAGCATTTCTCTTCCTCACATTAAGAGGAATATCTTTCCTTGCCCCTCCCCTCCTTTTAAAAAACTATCAGCTTGTATAACTTCATTTGGATTCCAATTTTCTTGTGCATTATTTGCCACATACAAAATATAGCACTATGGTGTACAAGTTTTTACATAGGAAAAATACTACTCTCAGTAGCAGATAACTTGGGAAAAAAAGTACAATTTTCAGTCCTAACAATCATCCTACTTATTTGTAGTAATGGAACTGTTCTTATTTCCTTCTACAATTCACAGTCCTTTTTTCAATTACTGCAAGTTATAGCCTTTTGTCAGGATCAGAGTTTCTTCGACAGTGCTGAATACTACTATCCCACTAAACAAGTTAGCAACGCTATCCACAAGGAAAAAAGGAAAAATGCACTGCTCCATTAGAGCCTTGTACATAACAACAATAAGACACAGTTGTACAGAATTAGAGGAGCAATTGCAGTTTATGCGGGCATGATTTAAGGAGGTAAGGAAGTATATATGATTCATGTGTATGAGGCAGAATTTATAGCCTTCCAGTTATTCCTTAACCAATGTTATATATTTTAAACTGTTACTAGATTCATTTCTGCCCTTGTGGACTCAGCCGACATTGAGGAGCTTCAGCAAGTTTTCATCTCTGGCTAACGCTGCCTTGTGCTTAATCAACTCTTTCATTCCACAAAGCAGCAGACAGTATAAAATAGTTGCTATTTTCTGTTCAATTCAAATTAACTTAAGAAGCATTAATTCAAATGCTTCTTACCCCATCTGTATCCTCCAAAATGGCCAAGGGGCAAATCACTCTATCAGCATCACTATTTATGCCTCATTCACACTAGCCATGTTATCCCTGTTACCTAGTCCCTCTGATATCAGAGGGTGAGAAGTTCATGGAGAAGAGATTCTCAAGTTTAGCAGTCACTTTCTCCTGCAGACCTTTCAGCAGTTGTGTTATTATTTTAGAACCACCTGAGAGATGTGCACATGGCAGCACATGTTCTTATCTCATTACTCCACTGGACTGTATTACAGTTTATCTGCATTATCTAAGTTTCTTGAGCTCAACTCTGGCTAACTATTGTTTGATTAAAACCACAGCAGAGCACATTGTAACTGCTATGGAGGATTAGTTTTATTTCCAGGTATGAGAAATATAAGACCAAATTTCCCAAAGATACAACTCATTTTAAAAAATAAATGCCATCAACATGTGGCAGCATTGTTTCTCCTCTCCTCATAAAGATTCATTGCACACATTTTCCCCAGTGCAGTCAAACAGAACAGGGGTGAACAGCCCAGCAACAGACAACCTAGGACCTCTAAGATCTACAGTGCTCATACAGAGCGAGCAAAGTGAACGAAGACGACGACTCCATGTATCCATTAAAAAAAGACTTAGAAGTTCCCATCTCACTGGCCGTTCGTTAATAGACAAAAATTTACAGAACAGAAGAGGAGTTATAAATTGTATTAGGCACAGTGTTAAATGTTATAGTAGGAAAATAGGAAAAAATATAGGGCTTTGAACAAGCCATTTTGAAGCACAATACAAACATTAAGGCATTAAAGCAGGCTTGGTATCCAACCAGCTATGTTAAGGGCATCTTTGGGTCAGCAGAGTTTTTCATCTGGAGGAAATCTCTTCTGTACCTGCAAAGCAAGAGGCAATTTAATTATTCCTTTCCATGGAGGCAAATTACTATTTGAAGACCTGGTTGTTGAGTTAACCACAACTATTTACATTCTTCACACCATTTCTCAGTGTGTTTGTGGGAGAATTCAGTGTGTAGAGAATTCATCTATATGGAGCTTTAAGAGTAATTTCTACTTCCCCGCTTTCTTCTTAGAATGTAATTTCTGAGGTTACTGCAAGTAGTTTTAGTTACATTATAAGCTGGTAGAACAAGTGTTCCGCTAGAAAGTGGTTTTAAAGTTTTAACCATTTTTAGCGTAACAGCATCCAGTCATCTGGATGATGACCCTTCTTGCGCTTGGCATGAAGGCAGTTCCTGGTCTCAGAACACACACTGTAAGTAACACATGTAAGGATAACAGCAGCTGTTAGATCCCATTGCTTAAAAGAGGCTACAATCCCTATTTACCACAGCTACAGAAATTTGCATGTTCTGAGAACTAGAATGTCTGTAATAGCCATACTGCTCTCCAAGCCATTAACTTGATTATATAGACAAGTCGTCATTACCTGAATTAAAGGGACACTGAAGAGTCACCAAACAGAAAGACCGAACATCTGTAATTTTGCATGGACCAATCAAGCCAGTACCCGTAGAAGCTTCTCTCCTGTCAACTAAAATGCAGTAACCATCCGGGTGCAGTTTGAGCCTGCTCCGTTGGTAAAGTAATAACTGTTTGCTTAGACTATCTTCCTTTTTAAATAAGGTCTCTCCACTCTGGGAGTTAGTATTTTATTCTCTTTAACTCTTTGCATTCTGTCCATGCTAATCCATCCAAACCTCAGTTGAAAGAAAAACTGGAGGAAAAACATACAAGCAAAGCATAGCACATGCACCTTGAGCTCTGCAAAAGCACATCTGAAAAGCAGAAAATCCTTGGGCAAACAAGTAACGGTAGCTCTATTCATGAGATTCTGTGCGACGCCGAGAGATGTATCCTAACTCTTTCAGATGGACTCTAACTCACAGCTCCTTCAATTCAACAGGAGGCGCTCAGTGCATAGGCGCACAACAGTGAAAGAAAGGCCATGAGAGCCTCATCTAGGTAGCTAGCTTCCTGCAAATGGGCTCACTCAGCATTCCAGGAGTACTTCAAACAAGACTGTGGAGAATCATATATACTGTTATAGCATATTTCTGCCTAAAGGCAAGAAAGAACATAATATCTCACCATGATATTTGAGCATTATATATTTTTTTAAGCTTTCTTCTCATGAAGACAAGAACTTTCCTTTTCTTCCAAAATTAAGTCAATGAAATCAGCTCAAAGGTTAAAATAATAATTGCTTCATATAACACAATAATGTGTGCTATATACAGCTTGAATTCTCCATTAATAAGTTAGTTAAATGATAGGTCCTCACATAGAATTCCTGGCTATCCCAGAATGCCTCTCCTCCTCCATCCAAATTTACCACCAGTCCTCTGGAAAACCCTTCTCTGATTCCTTTCCAACTTTGTTCTTGCTAGTAGCCAACATATAGTTCATTTGTCAGACAGAAGTAAGACCAATTTTTATATCCAGGTCATCCACCTGCCCCGATAACTACATTTCCGTTTCAGATCCCAGGCAACTGAATTACCCATGGGATTCGGGGATCTATATGCCCCCTGCCAGAATCCACTGGCCTCCTGGTCTCTGTTTTTGCTAACTAACACTACTTCTCTGCACACAAGAGCAGTAAAAATCCACCTTGAAAGTCCAGCTGGATTGTTTTGCTTCGAAACTACAGAGCTTTGCTCCAGGGTGCTTTACAGCCAGCAACTGAGTCATAGCATTAACTGTCATCTGTCTGCTGCTATTGGACTTTTCTAAACAAAAATTACAGTAATAAGAGCAAGGGGTACGTGGCTAAACCTAACAGATAGAAAACAAGTAAAAAAAGAGTACTGAAAATTTTGAAACACTGAGTTTATCAGCATAAAAGCTAAAGTCATGGGTAACTCTTTGCACATCTACCCTTCATTTGAACCCAAAGCTCCAAATCCAGCCCTTGCACAGAAGGCTGAAGTCATGATGCTACTCCTAATACAGAATTTATATTTTTGCTGGTCATGTCAGAGAGCCTGTCTAAGGTATTTCAACAACAGCATTCTAGTAGCGCTACCCAGATAACAACCATCACTGTCATCTATACTTAAGTTACACATAAACTATTGTTAAAAAAAAAAAAAAAGAAATAAAACGCATTCATCTGCAAGTTAGGTATTAGCGCTATACACTGACAGGAGATAAAGAACCACTCTAATTCTAGTCCTTACACTGACTTCCCAGATGAATGAGGGCAACTGCACATTGCCTTGGACATCTGGACAGTTCTTGGATAAAATGATGGTAGGCTGGAAAAAAAAGAGGCTTAACAGTTGTCAAAGATTAGGACACCCACTTGCACTAGCTGTTAAAAGAAGAAGAAGAAAAACAGCAACAACAACCACCCCAAATTCCCTATCCCCAAGGACTGCTGTTTTGATAGAAAGAAGAAACTTCCCTCCCCCCTCCCAGCACTTGCTTACTGAACACACAAATAATAGCACACGACAGCAGAGGCAACTAACTGTACAACAATTCAGTCCAAACTTTCGTGGTATCCAATCAGGCTTAACATCCAGAGGTCTTTTTTTTTTTTTTTGTTGCAGCCTATAGGAAGATAGCTTTATCTTCCAAAACAACAAGCTATTCTGAACCTACTGCTTACATGACTGTTCAAGCTCTCCTGAATCTTTAACATACGAAATATATTTATAAATTGGGTCATACTCACCTATTCAATAAATTGCAGCAGAGGACAGACATCCTTAAGGCCAGTGAGATTTAAGATACCAGATTGTTTCATTGCTTAACTGCGGCCCAAAGAGAGGGTTGAGTTGAGCCAGAATCGCAATCAGCCAACTGCAAGACAACCCCCCAGCCCAAAAGAGAGATCATCAGCCAAATTAAACAGCTTATTATGTAGGGAAGGCTTGTCCAGAACATAGGTACTATCAAAAAGGAAAATACCATATCCAGGAAAGTCTAGTATCAAATCAAAATTTTGCTCAAGCTCGTACACAAAGACGGGATACTAGCAATGAAGTTCTGGTACCTTATCATTCTGCAGCTGGAATAATAAGTTATCCTACTCTATTTAAACCAGCACTGTCAGCACCACCTGACAGCATTTCTTTTGTACATTTTTCCTTTGAAAGGGACGTGCTTTTGAGACTTATGAAACTCAGGTATGTATGGGCTCAGAAGACAAACGTTAAGTGAGAAGGTCCTTTTCTTAGTACCTATGAAGCATCCTTTAAGCAAACAAAAAAGGTCTCCGAGAAACACAGCATCTCTCGTTTGCTGTCATTTTCAGGGTACGATACTGCATCCCCTTGCAAACCACATATAATTTTCGTAAGAGCTTGAGCAAAAGTGGACTTAAACCTGGAACAGAGGCCAAAGGAACAGGGGTATGAAGCAAAAGGGTACAAAACAACAGCGACCAAAATAAAAGAAAAACACCCAACCCCACCAAACAAACAGTATGACAACAAACCCCAGAGCATCATCATCATCAGATCATCGCCCTCCTCATCAGAGCAGCTGACGAACTAACCCTGCAGAAGCCACAGCCAGAACAAGAGGAATGTAGTTTGTGGAAAACATCCAGGAAAGCTAGCAGAAATCAATATTCCACTGTTACAAGATTCAGAAAAAGCCATGGATGCTTCCATGGATTTAAATCTATGTAAAATAATAACTAAATATATTTAGTGAACAAACTGGATCATTCGTCTGCTATTTCTAGAATGCTTTGTAAGGAGGATAAAAAACAGAGCAGCTTTGTAATGGGAGCTGCCACAAATGTATCAGAGTGCTTAGGCAGTCATGGAAAATTCCACGCAAACCTGGATGCTTTGACTAGCAAACGTAGTGCAGGTCAGCTGCAAAATGGCATGAGGGCCATAGGCAAAAGATGCGGGTCAGACTTCAAAAAAAGAAAAAAGGTCAATCCTCTTAAAATTTACACATATTTATTTTCAATGCCATTTTTGGTTTTGCTTGAGGTAGGACTCCAGTTAGAACTAAGTGTTGTACCTGCAGCAGTCCATCAACCTCTGTTAATAGTCACAGTGTGCATCAACAAATGAAACTAATCACTCATTCTGAAACATGTATCAGATTCCACAAAGTGACTAAAACATCAGCAGGACACCAACAAGAATAGCCAATAACCCTTAGGCTTATTTTGCTATCCAAAGTGATGACGAAATAATTTGAAGTCATATGTTAATCTTTATGTTAAATGTACTTAAGGCAGAAACAAAATCTCTCTTAAAAAAAAAAAAAATCCCATGAAATCTATTTTGCAAGGGTTAGTTTTCAGACACAGAGGCAGATAAAAGGGGTACCAGAGCACTGTACCATCTGCCTTTAACATCCTGAACTAACTGGAGTGGGAGGTGGATAGAAATACTAAAAACCTGGTAAAACACAGTATTCTCTTTCCCGCTGTACAGAAGGAAAGAATTCTATGCACAAATATCTCACCTCCCTGTGCTTCCTAAGATCAGGCCCAGCATGGCTGTGAAATAAATGAGCTGGAAGCACATTCAAAATATTGATGTGTCCCAGCTGTATAACCATGCTTTAGGCAAATACTGTGCCGTTTTCAAAAGCTATTTGTTGGGACCATGCTGGATACCCAACTCGTGAACGGCGGTAGCATTACAGGTCATTACTGTAGTCCTCCTCCCTGCACTGCTAGGACCTAATAATTTAAAGCAGTAGCTAGGCACTGAACTCTATGACTCCCTTGCCTTCAAGATAAGTCATGGAAAAGCTTCCCCCACACATTTTGCTTAACCAATGCTGCTTTCTATGATAATCTACCCTGACAATGTGAAACAAAATGGGACACAAAGTAAAACAAAGCAAGCCTCTACATCCAATGTGTAATGTTGTAGAGTTGCTAAAATCAGGTATGGCATTCAAGCCACCCACGGATCCTTACATTCTACCGGATACCAGTTGCAACAGTTAGTGTTAATTATCCAGCTCACACAAGGGAATTAAAGTCCCTTATGTTCTACTAGGAAGATTTTAAAAGGTCTTTCTGCCATAACTGCCATCTGTCAGTCTTTCTGTCATAACTGCTGCATGTTACAAATTAAGGTCCTGATACCTGTTTAAATGTCAATTTGGGCAACCATATTTTAACCCACTTAGAATTAGTGGCAAATGATACAATTCTTCAAACATCCTGTCTTCTGTCAAGACTATCATGGTACCTTTTCACGAGCTGCTCTGTAAACAGCAAAACAGATTTAAACTTTGACAGTACCTTACCAAAATGGTATAACCTAGAATTTCTCTAGAAGCCTTGACTCCATATACTTTGCCTTATATCCTGTTAGGTTCCTGAGGCTTGCAAATTCTTGTTGAAAAGGCTGCTGGTAGAATATTTGTACACAAATGATGCACTTATCTATGCAAAAACTTCCCACAGAACAACCAAATTAACATCAGGGAATCACAGTGGTTATTCAGGATTAACACTATTAAACCTCTTTCTTCTGTGTTTAGATTTAAGGTCAAATTTCACTGACTGTTTAAATTTGAATTAATTAGCATAAACTCAGTTTGATTCAGCAAACCGAGCAAACTGATTCAGCAACCGAGTGATGTTTAATAAAAACAGGAAAATTGTTTTTTATTGTTTCAGTCAGAAGGCTAATTAAAAAAGCATGAAAGGAGGTCCAGCTACTAGAGCTCTACAGAACTCTACAAAGAAGTAGATGAACAGCACCAGCCACCTACTAAGGACACAGGAGTGCAAAGACCATACCTGCAACAACGCAACAACCGATTATTTTAACCCTAACATTGTATCCAACAAAGAATCCCCAGAATCCATTATTCTAGGCTTCCACCAAGACTGGTACGTTCTGTATACAGTTCTTGAAGACACAATCACTGAACGGTAAGGCAAGTGCTATCTTTGAATACTGGACGAAAAGCCTGCTCTTTGTTGTGTTCCGGAAAGTAGAACCTATAGATGTAATTTATGCGATTGAATATAATTCTTGATGGCATAAGATGTACTTAAGAGTCTGCTTCTTTTTCTTTTTTCAACATGTAATTGGACAAAGCCAAAGGCAATAATGAAAGTGAGCTACAGCCCGCATGATTAAGAATGAGAATAGAGAAGCATCCACTCACCGGACATGCAAAAAGCAGATTATAAATCACGTTAATGACCACTAGATTTATAACAGACCTGTTTCAGTACAAAAATTGCAACTTACAGGTGAAATACCACTGTGCATTTGACAAGTTCAAAGCACTCGGTCAAACTGAAGGAATTCTATGACAAATATATTCCACATTTTAATCCAGAGCATTCTGAGGATGCCACGTGGCCTCAGCATCAAGGAAACCGTTCATCCTCAAAAAATAAAAAAATAAGCTTAAAGTATATTGGAAGGGTAGGACATTCAAGTTCTTTCTACGCCCCATTTTAACAGAAGTAATGAGAACTCCTTTGTACTTAAAACACCACTATCCCCCCACCCCCACATACACCTAACTGTATCCTAAACACAATAACGTAGTAAAAGAGAGCATCCAGCTGCCCACTGCTACCCAAGCATTTGGAACTTAGCACGAGCTTGGGCTGTTATCTAGTTGATTTGCAGGGGAGGAGGCCTTCATAGCATTGAATTCCCACATCCGAATACCAAATTCAAGCTGCTGGCACTACAAAACTCTTCTCTAGTTTCCGCATCTGTTCAGCGAAACGTAATATATATTTAACCTGTTACATTTACCTAACACGAAAAGAAAGTGCTTAGCCTTTCATATAAAAACTGTCACATTTAAGAAAATTATTTTCATATCTAAGAAGTAAAAATACAGAACTAAGTTTCCAATACAGAACTAAGTTTCCTATGCTTTAACAAGTTATCCAGAAGAATGACTTCAAGACTTCGCATGTCAAATATCCTACACTAAAACTAGGCCCCAACTGTTTAAAACCTGAATATCACATTATTAAACTGAATCAAACCTGCATAAGCCTGTACCACAGGCCAACCCACACAGGCTTTTTCTCAAATAGGAGAGCACTGGAAACCTGGTTTTTGGCTGCCAGTTCCTAAGAATTACAGTCTTAATATTTGAGGATGCACCTCTCCAAGCATTCATATTAAGCTCCTCGGAGTAGTATAAATAACGCCTAAATACTTAAGGAAAATACAAATGCTATTCAAGTAGAATTGTGGATAATGACTTTATTACAGGTTACCCAGAAAGATCTAACCAGACTTTTAATCAAGTTACTCTCCATAGCATAATCCTTCTAAACACCTTTTAAGTTATTATCAGAGAAAGTGCTATGCAGAAATATCAGTCCCTGTGATTTTTCAGAAGAAATATCTAAAGAAATAAGTATGCTTTCTGTTGCAGACTTGAGGTAAAGCTGGTTCACCTCGTTAGAAAACACGGCATGAGCAGTGTCTCGACAACTCATTTTGTTATTTCTACCAATTCTCCTACAGAATAAAGGCAGCCTCAAAGCATATTGTGCACATTTAAACAGGAACAGCCTTAATATGTCAAAGCATCATGAGCCTGTCACAGAAATTACCTGGCGCATATATGTACATCTCACATACAGACCATTTTCATCTTCTACTCTAACAGATTTAAAGACTGCATCCAAAGGGACCAAACTAAGAAAAGCAAAGCTCATCAGTAACCTTAAACTAGTATCACCTTGGAGTTACATGTGAGAGTGTAAAGAATGAAAAAAAACAGGATGTCATTGCTTGACTGTGAATCAGCAAAATTTTAGACTCAAACTGTTAAACCTGTGAGTTAATAAGCCAGTTAACCGGAAAGGAATAATGGCAGCTCAATATAGAGTACTATTCAAGAATATATTTCAGAGGACAACAACAAAAAGAATTCCGCTCAAGTGCAATATCCACCAACAGGAAAATATCTTCTACAGTAGGTTGAAGGTTTTTTGTAGAAGCAAAACTTCTAAAGGCTGTCAAAGAATAGCATGTTTCTAAATCTCTGCTACGCATTTGAACAGCTTCCTCCTACATGTCTTGAGAATATAAAAAAAGGACCTGTTGATTATAGCAGAACTAGCTGTGCCTTGAATAACAGGTAAAGATGATATTTATACTTACAACAGGTAGCAACAAACAGCACATGTCACCAGCATGGTGTTGATAACACTGCAAAAAGAAAGACAGCTGATTAGGTGTCATGTTATGACTGACCACAAGATACATAGAAAAAAATTCCAAGAACAAGTTCAACCTCAGTCATATGCAAGGTGACTCAAGATGAATGTTCTAACTTATTCCAGTTGAGTAAGTTAGAGAGGCTCACACTCTGCAAAGAACTGGCATGGCTTTTGCAAATAAAAATACAGCAGTACAGCTATATTTAACAAAACCACTCTGAAGAGAACTAAAATCTTATATAACAAATACCCTTTCTCCATTTCACAAACCTTTCTATCTGCAAATCAGTAAACTGCTCAGGCTAGATATTCAACTGTAACACTAACATTAAGCAATGAACATTTTCTCCATTTGCAAAACTCTGCTTACAAAAGTTTTCAGTGTCAAGATATTTTATATCATGAATGAGGGTTTTGTAAATTCAATACAAAATAAAATCTCAAGGTCACATGAAACAAAACTGCAGGGGAAGAGTTTCCTTTCTTGCTTAAAGGAAACTGTGAAAGAGAAACCATAGCTCAGCTGAAAAAAAAAAATCAAGCAGCTCTTCAAACTGACAGTGGTAAAACTGCAGCTATACAAACAAAGGATTTTTAAATGGAAGGAAAGGAAATTAGATTCTCTAACAATGAGCAATCTGTGCAGCTCAGGGAACTTAGTAGCAAAGTGGAGGGCTTTTTCTTGCTTTATTATAGAAAGGAATCTCTCTAAACATGTTCCACTCGAGCAGAGTGAGAAAAACCTCAAGGCAGGTAACTAACTTCTAATCTTTCTGCAACATAGATAACCTTTTCCTCTTTTTTTTTTTTTTTTTCCTTCGTACAAATGCACCTCGTCAGCTGTCAAATGAATTCTACAAAGCTAACAGTCTGTAGTAGTGTTTAAGAACTCCTCCTTGGCAGAGTCCTGGAAACATAGTTTGGAAGTTTTAGCCTAGGCAATGCAAAATCTTAGCCCGGTTACAACTTGTACTGATGGCAAGACCAGGAGCTATTTTGAACTTTTTTTTTTTTTAAAAGAGGAAAAAGATGAGAAGTTAACAAACTACCCAGCATCACTATAGACATACTGCAAAATCAGAAGACAGCAGTGCTCTATTCATATTTGTTAAACAACCAAACTTTGGGAGAACTGGAGAACATCTGTTAGTGACCCTTCACTTTCCACATATTTAAGGAGATGTCTGAAAGATGCATTTCCAAGACATGTCTGAGGTCAGACAAGTTTTTAGGCAAACAAAAAAAAAACCACTTCAGTTTTGAATTGAAGTAGTGTCAGAGCTAAATAAAAGCACAGGGGAATTGCTCCAAGCTTTGATAAACATCTAAGAGAAAAGACAGCTGATATCTCTGGAGTAGAGCGCATGTCAGAGGGGGGAAGAGAAAGTAAGAGACGATTGCCTCCTAGAGAAAAGAGAAAGATAAGAACTTGTCCCCTTTTTACTTGACCACCTACAATCACTGAAGGAAAAAAAACCTCTCTGCTTCGACGTCCTGCTGTTGTCCTTCGGCCAGCACGGCTGCAAGACCACTAGCGGGTACTTAAACACAGAGTGGAGAGGATCGACAGCAACGTGCTCACGGTCTCTCTCGCTGCGAAACTAGAGGAGGGTGGAATAAGTCAGGAGAGGTCAAGGTCAAGCAGAAGTGACCTACAATCACTGAAGGAAAAAAAACCTCTCTGCTTCGACGTCCTGCTGTTGTCCTTCGGCCAGCACGGCTGCAAGACCACTAGCGGGTACTTAAACACAGAGTGGAGAGGATCGACAGCAACGTGCTCACGGTCTCTCTCGCTGCGAAACTAGAGGAGGGTGGAATAAGTCAGGAGAGGTCAAGGTCAAGCAGAAGTGGGAGGAGGAGGACGTTGT